GTTAATTTTTACAGCACTAATATATATAAATAAGTAAACTATATACACAGTGTATGAGTCACAGAAACATTATACTGGTGCGTAGAAAGGCAGTAATACAATATAATATATAAGTAAGGATTGAAGGGCTATGGTCATTTAGCATGGGGATAGTAATTGCACATCTGCCAGACCAAAATATTGCACATATTGCACAGGGGCCAAAATATTGCACAGAAAAAGGGAAGACCAAAATACTGCATATGGAATGGTAGCAACATAGTCAATAGCAGCGACAGAGTGATTGTGTGGGAGAAGTTTGTTCACACTCTTAATTTGCATTGAGAGTTGTGATAGCTGACAGGAAGACGCTCTTTTTTTAGTCTATTGTTTTTGCACCTGATGGATCTGAACCTTTTTCCAGAGGGCAGGATGTTGATGAGGTGGTGGTTAGGATGGTCTTTGATAATCACATTGGCTTTGGAGAGACATCTCAAGCTGGCAATGGAGTCCAGGGGGGAGAGTGGACAGCCGATCACATTCTCTGCAGTTCTGATGACTCTCTGGAGTCTCTTCTTATTGGCTGTTGTGCAACCAGCATACCACACGGAGATGGCATGCATCAACACACTTTTGATTGTGGCTCGATAGGAGGACACTAGTAGGTCAGTCTGCAGCCTCTTCCATCTCAGAACCCTCAAGAAATGGAGGCACTGCTGGGCTTTCTTCACTAGGGCTGATGTGTTTGTGGTCCAAGATAGGTCCTTGGAGATGTGGGTACAGAGGAACTTAAAGAAGGGCAGCCTTTCCACATAGTCACCCTTTATGGATAGGGGAGGGGGATCAGTTTTTGTCTTAGGAAGTCCATGACCACTTACTTGGTTTTCCTGGTGTTTAGGGTAAGGTTATTGTAGTTGCACCATTCTGTCAGATGCTGGACCTCATCTCTGTAGGCGGTGTCGTCATTGTTGGTGTTCCTGAAGGCTCTGAATGTTGTAGCACTGTCTTGGTTGACATGTCTCTACAATGATGCATGGCAGATCAGGGCAGTAGTTCCCATCTTTAAGAAGGGGGACCGGAGGGTGTGTTCCAACTATAGAGGGATCACACTCCTCACCCTCCCTGGAAAAGTCTGTGCCAGGGTGCTGGAAAGGACAGTCCATCCCTTAGTCGAACCTCGGATACAGGAGTAACAATGCAGTTTTTGTCCTGGACATGGAACACTGGACCAGCTCTTTACCTTCTCGAGGATACTTGAGGGTGCATGGGAGTATGCCCAACCATTCTACACGTGTTTTGTGGACTTGGAGAAGGCATTCAACCATGACACTTGGAGTGTCGTGTGGGAGGTGCTTTGGGACTATGGGGTGTCTGGCTCATTGCTACGGGCCATTCAGTCCTTATACAACCATTGCAAGAGCT